CTTGACATGTCACTATGTCCTCCACCTCACCAAGATTATCCTGAATACCCATTGGTTCAGAATTCGGCGACGAGAAATAGTCCCCCTAGTCTTGTATATCAATAGGGTTGGGTCGTTGCGGCCGTCCAGACACACACTTCATGATGTCCCAGAAACGTTTAGAGTCTACCGCTTCTGCATTTTCTAGGTCACACCTTTTACATTGTGCAAACTGGGCTTTCTTGATTCCACACAGTTTTCTGTATTCATTGTAAACTTTGTATTACTTAATCAGGTATAAGTAATCTTTAGTTTCTTCTGAACGCATTTAAATAATGGCACCGAGACATTCATCACCATCGGGGAACATGTCACTCGATGCTAAACCATTATCTATCACACTACACCCTAAATGGCCAATAAGCGGCACGGGTGGCCCAGTCGTCTAAGGCGCCGCGATTCGCTGTGCAGAGTTGCGTCCCTTGGGCACGCCAGCAAACCTATGATTGTGGGTTCGAATCCCGGTTCGCCCCGATTATGTAGCTAGGTTTGTCAGCGCCATACCCGTGCTCGTGGGTGTTACCGAATACTGTTAAAAGCGGCGTTTAACCCAACTCACTCACTAAAAGCCCAATAAATATACAGTCACCGATGTGAGTCAGTTCCAAATCTTCCATTCACAATTGAACACATTGAACATTGAACACATTTCCAAAAGAGTTTTTCCAAAGTTATTTAGTAATTGATCACATGAATATCTTTCCATCTCAAATTGTGTCAAGAAATATACTAAGTAATTATTACTTTCAACATGGTGAATAACATTGTTCTCCACATAGTCCCGCGTCACACCGGTTCTACTGTTCATGTACAATGGACCCGTGAAGATCCGGGGTAGAATAGGTCTTCAGCAACCCATTCTTGCCTTAAAGAGCGACTATGCTTGTCGTAAGATGCAACTAACGGGATCGGGTGGTCAGACTCGCTGACTTGGTTGATGCATGTCATCATATCCCAAATGCGTGGATCGATGCTCATGGTGTCGACCACTGGATTGTCTGGTCCAGACTCGATTATTTACAGACCGCCGTCATATAGCTGGAATATTACTGAGTGCGGCGTTAAACAACAAACAAACAAACAAACAAATCCAAATACAATGATAAAAACAGCTGGGTACTCAATAAAAAAAACCCAGCAAAATCTCTATCCCATTTTGTCTAACTTTGTTATCATACCAGGTCGATCTCTCCGGTTGGATATATGTAAATACACACAATGTATGTCTACTGAAACCAAACATACTTTTATCCAACAGAATAGTAATAACATGTTCTCTGTCGAACATCAATAACATATCTTACCAGTGAATATTTTATCAAAAGTATTCCTCCCGAATACCTTCCGAACTTGGACCTTTGTGGCTGGTAAACAAAAAATGTCATTAAAGTAATTTTCTATTGACTATGTTTCAAATACAATTTTCAGATACAAAAGAAACAAAGCCAATGTCGGACAGTTTGTTGGTTAAATCTTCTATATTCCTTGCAATGTAAGATATGCTTTTGCATAACCTTCGACCTTGACGGCAGCACCCGCTCCTGTTCCACAGTTGACGATGGTCCACTCGAGTCGCGATCTGCGAATGGAGCCGATCGCAACTGATGTTCATTACCTTCCAGAGTAGAAGCTGGCATGTCCTCAATAACGAGCCTGCCATTCTTATAATAGCCCCTCTTGTTCTTAGATCTGAGCAAAGTCAGTTTCTCACGTTGTCGCTTATAACGAATAATTGCAAGAAACCGAGCAAAAAACAATAAAAATCGTGAAAATAGCAAAAAGTATCCTATATTTCTAATCAAACTTTGTTTATAAGAATATTTTACATTAAGGGGCGATATGTACGATATTAATCCTTAATGTAAAAAAAATAATTTTACATTAAGGGTTGCGGGTTGTTACTCTTAATGTAATTTTTTTTATATGAAGAGTTAACGCGTAACCCTTAATGTAAACATTTTTACATTAAGAGTAATTTTTACATTAAGGGTTGTAACACACCATACAGAGGAACAATGCGTCCTGACAGATATATTCACGATTGGTGGGGAATGTATGTGAGCGTGCGTGCGTGCGTCTTAAAAGAATATTCTAGTGGGCTGGAAACCTGTGAGAGAAGAAAGAACTGCTTTGTTTGTTGTTTAACGCCGCAATCATCAATGTTCCAGCTCTATGACGGCAGTCTGTAAATAATCCAGTCAGGACCAGACGGTCCAGTGATTGATATTACGAGCATCATCTACACAACTGGGATACGATGGCAACCAAGCATTTGTACTTGTATTTAGTTCGTTCCTATGTCTGACGTGTAGTTACATGCCGAGATTGGTTCGGGTGTAGACATTTAAAGTGATGGAGCTATAATTGATTTGTTGCGATCACTATTAAAACATGTTGTATGTGTTTGCTTCAGTGCCATGAATTATATGAAATTGTGACACATTAATTCCAAAATAAATCATGTGTATGAGTGAGTGTCTTTATGTCCTAAAAAAGTCATACACCGGTGCGGGTCACCAGGAGTAGGTCTTACACATTGTACCATACGGGAGTCAACCACAGACTGACACATTGTAACATGCGTGAGTCGAGCAAAGACTTGCATATTATACCATACGGGAGTCGACCACAGACTGACACATTGTACCATAATGGAGTCGGACACAGACTGACACATTGTACCATAATGGAGTCGGACACAGACTTGCATATTGTTCTACACGGGAGTCAACCACGGACTGACACACTGTACCTTGCGGGAGTCGACCACAGACTGACACATTGTACCTTGCGGGAGTCGACCACAGACTGACACATTGTACTATATGGGAGTCAACTACAGACTGACACATTGTACTATATGGGAGTCAACCAAAGACTGACATATTGTACTACACGGGAGTCAACCACAGACTGACACCTTGTTCCATGCGGGTGTCGAGCACAGACTGACACATTGTTCTACACGAGAGTCAACCACGGACTGACACACTGTACCTTGCGGGAGTCGACCACAGACTGACACATTGTACTATATGGGAGTCAACTACAGACTGACACATTGTACTAAACGGGAGTCAACCACAGAGTGACACATTGTACTACACGGGAGTCAACCACAGACTGACACATTGTACTATATGGGAGTCAACCAGACTGACACATTATACTATATGGGAGTCGACCACAGACTGACACATTGAACTAAACGGGAGTCGACCACAGACTGACACGTTGTACTAAACGGGAGTCGACCATATACTGACACATTGTTCTACACAGGAGTCAACCACAGACTGACACATTGTACTAAACGGGAGTCGACCACAGACTGACACAGTGTACTATATGGGAGTCGACCACATACTGATACTTTGTACTATATGGGAGTCAACCACAGACTGACACATTGTATTACACTGGAGTCAACCACAGACTGACACCTTGTACTACACGGGAGTCAACCAGACTTACACATTATACTAAACGGGAGTCGACCACAGACTGACACATTGTACTACACGGGAGACGACCACAGACTGACACATTGTGCCACAGGGGAGTTAACCACAGACTGACACATTGTACTAAACGGGAGTCAACCACAGACTGACACATTGTACTAAACGGGAGTCAACCACAGACTGACACATTGAAGTATATGGGAGTCAACCACAGACTGACACATTGTACTAAACGGGAGTCAACCACAGACTGACACATTGAACTTTATTGGAGTCGACCACAGACTGACACATTGTACTAAACGGAAGTCGACCACAGACTGACACATTGTACTACAAGGGAGTCGACCACAGACTGACACATTGTACTACACGGGAGTCGACCACAGACTGACACATTGTACCACACGGGAATCAACCACAGACTGACACATTGTACTAAACGGGAGTCGACTACAGACTGACACTTTGTACTAAACGGGAGTCGACTACACACTGACACTTTGTACTACACGGGAGTCAACCACAGACTGACACATTGTAATACACGGGAGTCAACCAAAGACTGACACATTGTACTAAATGGGAGTCGACCACAGACTGACACATTCTACTATATGGGAGTCGACCACAGACTGACACATTGTACTAAACGGGTGTCGACCACAGACTGACACATTGTACTATATGGGAGTCGACCACATACTGATGTATTGTACTACACGGAGTCGACCACAGACTGACACATTGCACTACACGGGAGTCGACCACAGACTGACACATTGTACTATATGGGAGTCGACCTCAGACAGACACATTGCACTACACGGGAGTCAACCAAAGACTGACACATTGTACTAAATGGGAGTCGACCACAGACTGACACATTGTACTAAACGGGAGTCAACCAAAGACTGACACATTGTACTAAATGGGAGACGACCACAGACTGACACATTGTACCACAGGGGAGTTAACCACAGACTGACACATTGTACTAAACGGGAGTCAACCACAGACTGACACATTGAACTATATGGCAGTCAACCACAGACTGACACATTGTACTAAACGGGAGTCAACCACAGACTGACACATTGTACTATATGGGAGTCGACCACATACTGACACATTATTCTACACGGAAGTCGACCACAGACTGACACATTTAGTCTAATTGTACTATATGGGAGTCGACCACATACTGACACATTGTACTTTATGGGAGTCAACCACAGACTGACACAGTGTACTATATGGGAGTCAACCACAGACTGACACATTGTACTTTATGGGAGTCAACCACATACTGATGCATTGTACTACACGGAGTCAACCACATACTGATGCATTGTACTACACGGAGTCGACCACAGACTGACACATTGCACTACACGGGAGTCGACTACAGACTGACACATTGTAATACACGGGAGTCGACCACAGACTGACACATTGCACTACACGGGAGTCAACCACAGACTGACACATTGCACTACACGGGAGTCGACCACAGACTGACACATTGCACTACACGGGAGTCGACCACAGACTGACACATTGTACTATATGGGAGTCGACCTCAGACAGACACATTGCACTACACGGGAGTCAACCAAAGACTGACACATTGTACTAAATGGGAGTCGACCACAGACTGACACATTGTACTAAACGGGAGTCAACCAAAGACTGACACATTGTACTAAATGGGAGACGACCACAGACTGACACATTGTACCACAGGGGAGTTAACCACAGACTGACACATTGTACTAAACGGGAGTCAACCACAGACTGACACATTGAACTATATGGCAGTCAACCACAGACTGACACATTGTACTAAACGGGAGTCAACCACAGACTGACACATTGTACTATATGGGAGTCGACCACATACTGACACATTGTACTACACGGAAGTCGACCACAGACTGACACATTTAGTCTAATTGTACTATATGGGAGTCGACCACATACTGACACATTGTACTTTATGGGAGTCAACCACAGACTGACACAGTGTACTATATGGGAGTCAACCACAGACTGACACATTGTACTTTATGGGAGTCAACCACATACTGATGCATTGTACTACACGGAGTCAACCACATACTGATGCATTGTACTACACGGAGTCGACCACAGACTGACACATTGCACTACACGGGAGTCGACTACAGACTGACACATTGTAATACACGGGAGTCGACCACAGACTGACACATTGCACTACACGGGAGTCAACCACAGACTGACACATTGCACTACACGGGAGTCAACCACAGACTGACACATTGTAATACACGGGAGTCGACCACAGACTGACACATTGTACTAAATGGGAGTCAACCAAAGACTGACACATTGTACTAAATGGGAGTCGACTACAGACTGACACTTTGTACTACACAGGAGTCAACCACAGACTGACACATTGTAATACACGGGAGTCAACAACAGACTGACACATTGTACTATATGGGAGTCGACCACAGACTGACACATTGTACTAAACGTGAGTCAACCAAAGACTGACACATTGTACTACACGGGAGCCAACCACAGACTGACACATTGTACTATATGGGAGTCGACCACAGACTGACACATTGTACTAAACGTGAGTCAACCAAAGACTGACACATTGTACTAAATGGGAGTCGACTACAGACTGACACATTGCATTACACGGGAGTCGACTACAGACTGACACATTGTACTACACGGGAGTCGACCACAGACTGACACATTGTAATACACGGGAGTCGACCACAGACTGACACATTGTACTAAACGTGAGTCAACCAAAGACTGACACATTGTACTAAATGGGAGTCGACTACAGACTGACACATTGCACTACACGGGAGTCGACTACAGACTGACATATTGTACTACACGGGAGTCGACCACAGACTGACACATTGTAATACACGGGAGTCGACCACAGACTGACACATTGTAATAGACGGGAGTCGACCACAGACTGACACATTGTAATACACGGGAGTCGACCACAGACTGACACATTGTAATACACGGGAGTCGACGACATACTGACACATTCTACTATATGGGAGTCAACCACAGACTGACTCATTGTAATACACGGGAGTCAACCACAGACTGACACATTGTGCAACACGGGAGTTAACCACGGACTGACACATTGTACTACACGGGAGTCAACCACAGACTGACACACCGTACTACACGGGAGTCAACCACAGACTGACACCGAAAAGTCATTGATAGCAAAGTTGTATAATATAATAATCAAATTCATGAACAATTTGAAAAAAAATGATGGTATGTCCTGGTGTCTTACTGCTCAAGCTTCGCCTTCTTCCATAGCACATCATACGGCCAACTCAAGAATTGATTTATGTCGAGTTTCTTGCCTCCAATAATTGGCTCGTATGCAGAATAATTCCAATTTGATAATAAATCTACCAGATTTTTACCATTGATGTCTGATTTCATGAGGACCCATTCCATTAGAATTGCTGGAACTTCGATCTCCTTGAAAAATCTGCCAGCACCACTGAGTGCATAATATTCATACTCTTGTATGTCCATTTTTAAAACTGCTTTCTTGAATGGAAGGTATGGTAATGTATCATCAAGTGTTATAGTGTAAGAATTAGCTGGTTCATCGCAAGGTGATGTGGAAGAAGACCCAGACGAAGCAATAACGCTTGTCCCCCCAAGATTGTCTGAAATAGGCTTGAAATTCACGAAAGAATGGTCTGCGCCTAGAGGATTGAACAAAATTGTCATCCTGTCTGTAAATCCCCCCTTTTGGATGGACTTACAAAGTCGCTGGACATTCTCTATGAGCGGATCCACGGATACCACCTTCCTCCCGAACTTGGCCACAGACAGGGAGAAGGCGCCAACATGGGATCCTAGGTCCATGAAACCAAGCTCGGGGTCTTTTTCCAATTCTGACAAAATAAGCTTGATGTTGTTAGATTCCCATACTCCATTATATTTTAATTCTTTGGACACCCACTTGTCAACCGCTAAATCGTGTATATGGATTGGCGTCTCTCCAGATGGCGTCTTTAAGGGAACACAGTCAACGTGAACAGTCCACGTGCAAAACTCAGGAAGTTGCTGGATGTGACTGCCATTGAATCTATAGACTTTAGTTTTACCAAGACTAGCACGAGCGTTGGTATGTATATCCTTTGGAGATTTGCGCGGACTTTGAATGTTCTTCGAGGATTCCAACATGCTCTTATCAATGATCGTATATGAAAAGTAGGGTAGGGTGACGTGCTCAAAGATCAACATGATGGCGGCACCGATGGTGACCAGAGCCAACTGACGCAAGTATGACATTGTGGGTTCAAGGCGATTTCGTCTAAGGTTTCAAGAGCAAATCTGAAACATAGATAAAAAAAATAATTCACATAATGTCGCTCATGTAGGGTTTGATTGTTTGATTTTTCTTAACGTCGCCCTCGGCAATATTTGAGCTATATGACATCGGCCTGTAAATAATCGAATCTGCAGTAGTCAAGTCAGTGATTTATATTAAGTCCGACGCTCCATGCTGTCGGGTTACAATGACAGTTAGGTTCAATCAACCAAGTCATCGACCCGGACCATGTTTACGGTTGCGTTTACGCATTAAACGACGGATCTCGTATCCTTACTTTTTACCGTAATAATTTTATTGGGGACGTCGTAACTTTTACAAAAAAGTATTGTTTTACTTAGTGATTTTCTTTGACTGGAACATCTCAAAATTGCTTTTTATTTATTATTATTTTATATGCACAACATTTAATGCATAATATACACTCACGATAATCAATTACTGTCATTCCTAATTCGAAAGGGCACATATTTGGCGTAAATCTCAACCAACAAGATGACCGACAAAACCCTTCATTTTGTACAATTGAATACAACGATGCGACTTTTCCTGGATAACCACACAATCCAGCCGTGTGGTGTTCTATTGTGACGTCATTTCTAAGACTTGGATGGTGGATTAGGTTATGGTGTGACAACCAAAGATATAGTATACTCTCAAAAGACCGCCAAACGGTTAATGATAAGCCTACACTTTGTTATGTTCGTTGTCACTCCAATAACCAAAATCCACCATCCAAATTAATCCTTATACTTTTAAGTACAATCTTCACAAAACATAAGATTTTGTATACAAGTAATATGTAGCTGACAACTAATAAAAAAAGTTTGATTGTTTTAGGTTATCAGCCCATAACCCAAAATCTCAACAAATGCAAGTGTTTCAGTTTTAACCATTCAACGACCATAGTAACTAAATTTTCTCAGAACTTATAGCATTGTGGTTGGGGTTCCATAACACATACATATCAATCGCAATCAGACAATGTCTACAATTTAACCAATCAGAGGCCTCCGTTATCTTTTTTTTCCCGATAGCAACGGAAATGAGGCTTCCTTGTAGAGTATCGTAACGTACATTTTTGTACTACAGTAAGTTTGATAGAAATCGCTAAAGGAATGAGAAGTCATAACCCCTTATATAAAACCTGCATACAGCAACCAGGTGGTTGTTGTAGAGAGGGAACCTAACCATTATTAGTCGCTTGCACATCCAGGCAATGTGTAACGATCAATTCAACCTGTGAAGTCTCATGACTGTCGCTAAGTATTATTTCACGGTGATAACCCTAAACATAAAAAAATAAATTATCTGTGACTTTAACCCTGATTGAAAAAATAAATTACAATAAGTGTTGATCCGTAACCTTTTATGTAAACATTGTTACTTGAAGGGTTATTCTGCAATGTAAAATAAGGGTTGTCACAAAGCAGGAGAAATGAGGTCGACTGCAGCCAGGATATTCCAGATATGTCAAAGAGCACAATTTCCAAGGCATGTAATCTCTATATTACTAAAGACCACAGTCAACCTTCAACTTACAGGTAAGTCTCGTTTAACTTTTAGATTCTATCAGCTAATCACGTAATGTTCGAGATTCCATGAGATTTCAAAGACTGATATACACTCGTATGAGCTGGGAATACACCATACGATGAAACGTTTATTCCAAATATAAAATAAGAATGGCAATATTCAAAAGAGTTTACTTGTTAAATGTATTGTTCTCAAATACAGTGGTAGTGAAGGTGAACTACCCTTGGCAAAGTAAACATCATAACTCACACATAAGAATTGTGTTCACTGACTTAAAGGTACATTGCATTGGCTGACAAGTCCTGCCACCTTTCCAACCCGCAATATTTACTCATTCACAGTGTCCAACACTGCCGATTCACAGACCTCTGTCCTCAGCCTTTTCCAAAATGTTTGAAATGGGTACAGATGCACACCTCGCTGCAGAGGTTGAGGCAGCACGAACACTATGGGCTTTAAATACCTGAATGTCCATACCAGACTTATGAAGTCCGAGTTTTGTCGATCTCGCCAGTGTGTCCCTTGACACTGCGTTGCGGGGCCTAATGTAAGTTATAAATAGTTGTGTAACCGATCCTCTGATGCGCTCAGTTCCGCTGAGGTAACACTTCAAAGTTTTCAGTGGGCAAAGTGACTCGTCATAGGAAGAGGCCCTGACTTCAACTGGTTCAGGTAATCTACCTGGATCAGACTGCTTGACTAGTTTGTCAATATGAAATGTAAACAAAGTATCATCCTGACTCCTTGCCATAAGACCTATATCTAACAAGTGTAAGGTCTGACCTCTCTGGGCAGGCACTAATGAAGGCAACATTACTAACTTGATGGCCAAATCGTTTAAAGATAAATCTTTCAGCGGTGTAAGCTTCTGAACAAAACGCAAAACATCTGTCATACTCCACATCTCTGTATAACGTTGTTTTGGTGGCACCATCTCGAAAATACCCTTAAGAAACCGACACACTGCAAGGTGTGATCCACAAGGTCTGTTGTCCAATTCAATAAATGTTGATAACTCACATCGTGCTGTGTGGATAGAACTTTAACAAAGTTTTTGGTTCAATAAACGCATAAAAAAGTCCAACACCTGCCCTAGATGTGGTCCAGTAAAATCAATTTTCTTTTCACAACAAAAGAGTCTTCATTTCCGGATATATGTAGCGTACTGCTTCCTGGTGCCGGAACGCCACGAACTGAGGATGACACTGGTTGCGTCTGAAGAAATGCCTCTTAGCTCTTTTGACCATGACAAACTGAAAGCATCTACAGCTTCGGCTTCAGGCTCTGGCCGCCAACTGACAAAACGTGGAAGCTTTGTGTTTAAACGCGAAGCAAACATATCTATGGCTGGATTCACGCCGAATTTTTTGAAACACCGTTATGTCCAAATACCACTCAGTTTGCTCAGAAAGATTTCTTGATGCCCTGTCAGCTTCAACATTTGTCAGTTCCGGCACATGAGCCACTGTCAACCACACTCTATGTTCTATACACCAAAACCAAATTTCCCTTGTAAGATCATTATAAACCTTTTATGTTTTCCTTCAAAGGACTCAGTCAGGGTGAAAGCTTGAAGGTCTAGATAGACAGTTTTCATTTCCAAAGCATTAATATGGAGCTGCTTCTCCTGGAGTGACCAACGCCCTCCTATAGACTTCTTGTTTTTACAAGCCCCCCCCCCCCCCCCCCCCATCCTAATAGACTAGCATCAGTACTAATTTCAATATCTGGCTCGGAGGAAGTTGTAATGTGTTTCTCAGCACCCATGGCATTGTCCTTCCACCATTTTATTTCCTGCTTAGCATCCTCTGATAATACCACCATCGTATCAAGTCACCATAATTATCTTGAAGTGTCTCTGTTTTTTCCCTGTCTAATTGTCTGTAACGCAGTGGTCCGAAATTGACAGCATGGAATGTGCTTACATATAGACCTAGTAACTGAGCCACTCTCCTTACAGAGCATTGTTGCCGAGTCAATACTAAATTGCTTTAAGTTTTGATAACCTGAGCTTTGTCGTCTGGTAAAGCCACTGTCATTTTTATGAGTCAATGTGGAAACCAAGAAATTTTATCCTAGTGGATGGTTCTAAAACAGATTTCTCAATATTAACTGTAAAGCCAAGTGAACTGAAGGCTCTTGACATTTCACATACTGTAACTGAACAGTCTTCTTTTTCTGTTGCTTGAGTGAAAGAATCGTCAATATATCCGAGGCATTGATTACCTTGACACCTGAGATAGGAATAGACTGGTTTCAGTATCTTAGTGAATACACGAGGGGCACAAGCTAAGCCATTCGGCATACATGTAAATCTGAGATACGTTTTGTGTGCAACAGGGAAATCAACTGAGTAGTAGGCATTTGTCAAATCTACGGATGCCATGTAGACATTTGAAGTGATCATGTCCAACACATTCTGCAAGCTTTCCATTATAAAATGGTGATATTGAGCATATGCATTGAGCTGTTTCAAATTTGATACTAGTCTGTATTTTCCACTACTCTTCTTTCTAATAAAAATATTTGAAACTGATCAGCAGTCTCCTCTGCTGGTTCAATAACATTTTGTTTGAGTAAGGTTTGAATGTCGTCACTAATGATAGCACTTTCCTGTAAATCTAATTTGATGAGGTTCAAACAATTGTTTTGCTTTTCTATAAAGAAAAACAATTCTGAGACCCTCTATGACATTCAATATAAAAGGATACTTTGTTAGTTTCTCCCACTCGTGTAAACATTAAGATAATCGACCAGCCATAAAATCAACATTTGAGCAGTCAGACATAGCAAGGTACTCACCTACCTGGCTATCATCTGTTGTCTGTGTACAGCCATCTATTGCTTGGCCGACTTCCCCCCTCCTCTTTTTTCGGAGAACTTGTTCCAGCGGCCTCTGCCGTTCCCTTAAAAAGGTGTACCATGGAAGTATCTGCCTATGCCTCTGCCTCTCGCCCAACTATTACCACCATATGGATAGGGTTGATATCTATGCCAACCACGGCCACTTCTAAGTCTATAGCTCGTAGCCTTGTGGCCAAGTCGAGTTGACATAGCTTTCAAGTGTTTGGCCACACTCTCCCTGAATAGATAATCTTGTCGGGTCACGTGGGGTACACAGTGCATGATAATGATCATTCAACTGTGGTTTTATCAGTTCCTTCCTTTTGAGGTATATTTCTCTATGGATATAAGCCCAAATCGTGAGTCACTCAACTTGGAAACAATATCTCTGAACAAAGTGCCTGGCACCTCTTGCTTGTGAGCAATTAAACTGTTCAGTGTATTTGTCACCGCTATGGTCGTTTTTTAGTTTCTGTGCGATGACAGGGTCATCCAACTTGGTAGTGAATACATGATTAACCAATTCAGTTCAGTTTGGGGTCAATTAGGTCCCCATCAGCCGTAGTAATCGGCAGAGTGTATCTGATGAGGTTTACAACTTCTAACCCGAAAGGATAGGCCCTGATTTCGTCATGGCCATGCACGACTTCCTCCCCACTGAGTAGTTCTGTTGCTATGTCAACAGTAGAATTTGCAGTATGTGCCTGACTTGGCGGAATATAATCCTCATCCTCATCCTCATAATTATATAAAAGTCTGATCGTCGTCGTGAGCGTAATCTTGTGTAAGGGTGTCAATTCTGCCTTCAAAATCAGACATCATCTTTTCCATGCGTTCGTTCATCTTGCGAAATTCGGCAAGCAATGTCCCTGAAACATCGGGCGCATGAGGAAGAGGGGAAGTATGATCTGCTTGGGAAGTGGCAGAAGCCGTCGATGTTGACGGTTTAGGGGATTTAGTGGCTTTTTGTTTCCCTTTAGAGGACTTAGACACACCCGCGTCGACAGGACGGGGACTTTTCAACACGACCTCAATTTGTTTTGACTTGTGGAAAGTTTCGAGTTTATTATCCGCTTACTCAGTAGCAAGTGTATAATAATAACTGTACTGTGTCAAGATACTATGACAGTACAGTGTAATTATACACTGTTTGATAGCAGATGAGTTGAAAATTGTCCCAACTCTAAGATGCGTCTGCACTCACTAAAAAGGCGGTTTGCACTGACTCGCGCATGCGCATTACAATATCATGGAATCTCGAACACTACGTGATTAGCTGATAGAATCAGTGATGACAGCAGGTGCTCGCCAAAAATGCAAGCATGTCCTGCTTTGACGGTAGCACCCGCCACTCACATTTTGCAATCAAAGGTATGTGTTTGTTACGGTCGACTTTCGAAGGAAGAAATAAAAAAAAACATTGACTACTAGCGGTGATACGGTGGAGGTTGTAGGAGACTACAAATACCTGGGAACTATCATTGACAACAAACTGATCTCCTCACGAAATACGGAAGCTGTTTATAATAAGTGTCAATCACGTCTTCACGTTTTAAGAAAACTGAAAACTTTTAATATTCACTGTTCTGTCTTTTGTTGGACACGTATTAAATCCGTTATAATCAGTATACCTGTATTCACTACTGGTGCAGACCCCTCTCGAAGCAGAACAAAACCAAACTAAAAATAAAATAAAAACTTAGGAGGCAAAAGCTTTCTAGCTGGTAGAATTTTAGATGACCTCTCTTAATTTGTATATCCTTGTTATACGCTTTTACGGGTAGAAAAGCAGAGCATTATCTTATTTTATCTTATCTTATCTTCAATAAATCTTGTCCGCTACAACGTAAGCGGGAAATAGTTATTCGAAACTTACGTAATAATACATTAAAAATATGCGGTTCTGCTACAACAGTAGTTTTTAATATAGTGTAGTATTTAGCTGGATAAGGAACCATGCCATTTTGGGCAAACATATCTTTTAAAGCGCATGTATCATGAAAAACAGTAGTAGATTTGTTTTATACCATTATGTAGCCAGTATGATGTACACTCTTCAAAAGAAGAAACGCACAGGTAGATTTTTAGGAGATTTATTGTACCTAATAAAGTCGATATATTTAATTCAATATCATAGATACAAATATGAAATTTTGGAGCTTGATAGTCATATGTTGGCGTTGTACAAAGGCATTGAAATCTGTTCATCGTCATGTCACATAAGGCCACAAGGTTGCGCTGAACTCAGTATCTCGTGTGACCGCCCCGGGCAGCAATCACGGCTGTGCATCTCCTGCGGAATTCTGCGCCATTCTGCTTGTAACGAGTTGGTCAGTTGTGGGAGTGTCTGCGGCGTGTTCTGACGTTGACGTACACGTCCATCGAGTTCCTCCCAGTGGTGTTCGATTGGGTTGAGATCTCGACGGCCAGGGCAAGCCGTTGGTGTTGGCGTTATGGAGGTAATCTACCGTGACACGAGCTGTGTGCGGTGGAGCGTTGTCCTGTTGAAACAGCTCCCTCTGGCGGTCAATAATTGGAAGAAGGTGAGGTTGAAGAATTTGATTCATGTAGCAATTTGCTGTCAAATTTCCCTGAACCACAACCAAGTCAGATCTCGTGGTGTAGGATATGGCCCCCCACACCATGAAACTACCGCCTCCGAATTCACGTAGTCCTGTTTCTCAAATTCCAAGGTTGTAAGGTACGGCTCCAACGCAAGCGTCGGTGTCGATGGATCGGTTGCAAAACAGGGACGATAACATTCATTGAGTTTATTGAGAGTGGTTCAACGACGGAAAGGTCAGGACTCAGTGACTTATATGTTTTGCTGTTGTAGGAATTGGGTCACATTCCTGTCACGATGAGCATGTGCGTTATCATCTTGAAAAATGAAACTTGCCCATCACTTTGTGCAAATGGCACCATGAGTGGGGCATACCATTTTGGACCCACCCCCAAAACGGTCATGCGGTAAGGCGTTAACGACCATAAAACGCTCATTGGAACGTCTCCAAACTCGATTCCTTCGGCCTTGGAAGTAGTGAGTGAACTTCGATTCGTCAGAAAACATGACATTAGCCCCACGTCGAGTATAACGTTCAATACCCTACTGACTCTGATTCAAATGACGTGCAGGAAGTTGTCTCATGACACGTGGACGCCGTGCAAGCGAATGCCATCTTCTCACCGTCCCAGATTTTCATAACCTTAAAGAACTATAGAGATACAAGAGAACCCTACCATAATAACCATGTCCCCTTGAGTTTTGTGTGCTAGATTTTACACCAAAATCTTTTTCCATGCACATGTACCTTTTCAGTAACATCCAAATGTTCCAGGCCCCACATATCGGATCCATACAATTGAATTCGGCTTATTTTTTTATCAAATATTTAAAAGTAAACATCACATGTAATATTGACAAAAACTCTAAGACATTTTAACATATTCACTAAATTTGTTTTGGCAATGCAATTTGACGTGTATTATTTGACCAAGTTTATCTTCTTGTTTGTAGTTGAACGCCACACTTATCGTCTTGTAAAATATACGTTTTTATAAAATGAAACAACTTCTTCAGGGTTTTCCTTTATAATGCCATTTTTTCTGTTATTGATAAGTCACCAACGTATTTTTTAAAACTACAACTTGTCCATATTTTGTCCATGTTTACAGTATGAGTACAACGTTGAGTACAGTGATTTATTCTGTACTGAACTGATGGGTGAGCCAACAGAAATAACTGTGGCAGCGTAATGAGGTGGAGGGTTTCTCCTAAACCTGTAGGACAAACCTGGCGCCAGGTGCCGTGGTAACTCAAAATGATTGTGATAAAATCCTACGGCCAGAGTTCGCGTGTCCTTGACATTGTCATTTTCAATGTAATGTCTTCATACTTGACACGTGTCCACTGTTGTCCTGTGTCACTGTTGCAATATGTCATCGCTTATCAAGCATTTGGATGTGCAAAGAATGATTTACTTAACACACACCCAAACTTCTTTTGAGGATTTGGCATTTTACAATCGACTGAACTGTTAACTTATGTATGATTTTACATTACGAATAAGAAATGCTTCAAGAACATAACAGCGCATTCTATTGACCTAATTTGTAAGATTCGGTAATAATTACACATTTCTAATTACGGTCAAACTTCGATGTGCCGAAGTTGAAGGGACCTACGTAAATATTTCGAGTTATCCGAGGTTCGACACAACCGAAAATGATGAATATAAAAGGAATACGCGGGGACCAAACTGTTACTTCGAGACAACCGCAAGTTGGACACGTCAAAGTTCGACACAGCTGTGTTTGACTGCAGTGAATAACATAAATACATTTTGCAGCTAGGATGGAATAATTTGTTTTGGAATTACAAGAATTAAGCCACAGTTAGATACAGGCCGGTAGATCGTGCTTGCTAATTCAGTACATGTGCTGATGAGTGCGTTTATCTCACTTACTTCCCGCTCTCGTATTATGAGATGTTGAGTATGAATCTACGAATCCGCTTTCCTTATATTTCACAAATGGCGACTGAGCAATAGCGCCATAAAGGAATATCGCTTTGTCGCCGAATCGCCATTTAGACATATCGCGTTACCATATCCAATGTCGTATCGTGTTATCGTCATGTCGTGTCGTGCTGTCGCCATATCGTGTCGTGCTATCGCCATGTCGTGTCGTGCTATCGTCATGTCGTGTCGTGCTATCGCCATGTCGTGTCGTGCTATCGCCATGTCGTGTCGTGCTATCGCCATGTCGCGCCGTGCTATCCCCATGTCGTTGCGTTTTATTGCTATTTCGCTTTTGGCTACATCGTATAATATCGCTATGTATACTATCGTTTTGTCACGAAATCGCGTGGAATTCTCAGAGCGATATATGGCGATGGCCCTAATCAGCCACCATAATGAATCGTTGCGCGGACGTGCTTCTGTGTTACCTGAGACACTTGCAGACATAAAGATACAAAATAAATGAGTAGATGACCCCTTCTCTCTTCCTTACTTATCTCATTAACTATCCCTAAATGCACTTGTAGTCAGGAGTAGATCCTGTGCAGTGTCGGCACATTTCAACGTGCGCCATAGTTTTTTGCTTTTTTTTACATAAAACCATAGTTGGTGATTTGGGGGAACGAAGCCTATTCACTCAATATGTCCTATCGCTGTAGTAGCGAATAGAATGTGTG